TTTTTCTGTGGAAATAAATGTTGTGATGAAAAAGAGGGCTTAAAGAGTTGGGAAGTTAATTTTGGTTATGTTGAGCATGGTGAAAAGAGAAATGCACTTGTTAAATTAAGTAAGTTGACTTTGGGGGTGCGGGATATAATTGATTCTTCCAAATTTGTCTTTAATTTGGAATTAAAAATATATGGACTATTTAAAATTCAATTAAAATTTTTGACATATCTTTCTAGAAGTGTTCTTTTTCTTCACAGCTCCTCAGAGTCTCAAAGAACTTTTGAACCTAAAATTTTTATATTCTTAGCATTACAGTGACATTTTGGTAAAACAATTCTGATGTCAAATGTAAAGTGGCAATTTGTAGAGTGAAGGTCTGTTCCCATTAAGTTGAGAATGTCACCCAAGTTACATGGCTAGGAGGTAGAGTATCAGAAAAGGCAATGTAAAATCTCACATTAGCTGATTATTTAGCCATATTGTTGTGATATGAATAATAAATAAATTCACACTCTTTGACATTGTCAAAAAAGAAATAATTTAGGAGGGCATAATTTTTCTTGATTTCAGTCTTAAAAGCTTAGGGTTATACTCTAGAATACAACAGTTTCCCTTAATATGCGTGTCTTAGAATCTGTCATAAGCTAGTCTTCATGTGTCAGCTGCTTCTCTCCCTCGTCATGTTAATGGCTTTTAGCCTTTTCTGGTTCCTAAGTAAATATGCCTTCAGAGTTTTCTGCCTACTTTGCTGCTTTTGACCACTCAAGAATGTCCCCCACGCCACTTACGCCCACCAATGCAGACTGGTTTCTTGAGTTCTTTCAGGAAGTGCTTATGAAGAAAAGTCAGCCGGTATGGACTGAGATTAAGGCAAAAGAAGAGGTTGTAATTATGGAACTATTTGAAAAGCTCCTTTCCATTTGGAAGTTCTTAGAACACTTCAGAGGAAATGACTATACCCACATTATTATTATTATTATCAGATATCTTTAATGTGAGACATGTCAATGCTGCCTATAGAACACAGTTTTTAGAGTAAATTGACAATAAATTTTTCTA